TCTAGTCCTGCCTTACCCCCTCTGGGAGCAGAGCGATAGCCAATACACAAACTGCTCTGGGAAAAGGCAGGATGAAGGGGTGCTCTGAAGGTGAGGTGGTGGGGCAGGTCCTGGCATGTCATAGGGGCTAGGCAGGACCTCCCTTAGGTTAGATTCCCCCGAATGGGACCGTGTGCTGTGAACCTGGATGTGTGCTGGGCACCAGGGGCGGTGAGTGAATATTCAGAGCCGAGGGCCCTGCTCCAGCAATATGTGGAGCTGGGTCTCTGCCTGGAGCGGGCCTCAGACCCCCCGCACGTTTTTCCACCCCCTCCCAGAGCATCCCCCTTGGTCCTGTCCCGTCCCTGCCGTGTGCTGCTCTCAGTGCGGCGTGCGCTGCTGCCATGCACAGCGTTTGCAGGTGAGCGTGACGTGGGGTACGGCCTGGGACTTTAAAACTCCTCGGAGGCACGTTCCATCGCGTGGCCTCATTCCGGGGTTGAAGTCTGGGGCCTGAGCGCAGACTCGGGCACTGCAAAGTGGAAGGCAGAAGGTAGGGGAGGGGGAAAACTAGGGGGAACGAGAACGGGCTTGTGCAGATGGGGGAGGGGTGAAGTGACAGGAAAGGGCTTATGGGGAGGGGAAAAGAAGAGAGGAAGGGGCTTGTGAAGAGAGGGAAAAAAGAGAGAAGGCACCAAGAGACAGGGTAGAGGAGAGACAAATGCCAGGGGGCCAAGTGCAGACAATGAGGAAAAGGGCAGGAGGGGAGGTGTCAGTGGGAGGGGGGACAGAGTGATGCTGGGAGAGGAGAGAAGAAGGGAAGGGCATTGGGGACTAGAAGGGGGAGAGGGAGGTGCTGGGAGAAGGCTTCAAAGAAGGGGTGGGCATGAGAAAGGTGGGGGTGGAGAAAGCCATTTGTGGGGGCACAGAGGGGCAGGAGAGGAATGGGGCAGAAAGTGATGGGGTGGTGGGCATCAGGGAAAAAGAGGGCAAAGGGGGCAGGGGTAGTGAGGGAAGCAGGAGGCACCAGGAGGATGCAGGGCTAAGGAAAGGTGCAGGTGCCAGGGTATTCTGGGGTGAAGCAGAAGGGCAGAAACCTGTAGGGGAAGGACCAGCACCAGTGGAGAGAGGCAGGGCAGGTGTGTAGAGGGAGATGTTGGATGAGGAGGGGTAGGTCACATGATCAGAGTGGGGCTACTGGAGGAGTGGGCACGGGGGGGGAGAGAAGGGCTGGTGGAGGGGTGCAGGTCACAGGAGGGCTGAGGGCAGTGAGAAGGGCAGGAATCAGGACAGCAGAGGAGGGTGAGGAGTTGGGGGGCAGCAGGCAACAGGGGAGCTGATGGAGCAAGGGGAGGAGACATGGCAGCAGAGAAAAGGTAAAGGTTTATAACATTTATTAATAACTTGGGTGCCACAGTGGCACATCCAAACAAGCCACATGAACTCAGTACAGGTGCAAAACACAAATCCATTCATGGAAGGAAACTCGCTATGTCTACACTGGTGGCTTCTTGTGCAGGAACATCTTGCGCAAGGGTTCTTGTGCAAGAAGTCTTGCATCAGAACATGTCCACACTGCCATGTGCGAGCTGTGCTTTTGCGCAAGAGCACCCATGGCAGCGTGGATGCTCTCTTGAGCAAGAAAGCTCCGACGGTCATTTTAGCCATAGGGGTTTTTTGCACAAGAAATCCCTGCCGAGCATCCACACTGTCCTCTTGCGCAAGAGAGCTTACACCTGTTAGAAAAGAGCGTAGCTCTTGCGCAAGATGCCCTCTCTTACCATGCCATACTGTAAATTTCCTTGTGCAAGAGCAGGCAGGCAGTGTGGCTGCTCTGTGGGTTCTTGCGCAAGAACGGCTGTACTTGCGTAAGAAGCCACGAGTGTAGACATAACCTTAGAGGGAACACTTCCCCCAGTGTCTCTGCCCCCGAGTTAATGTCACACACATTAGGTTAATGCAATTGTAGGATAGTTGCATGAGGGGGGTTTGGTGGGGGCCAAACTAATCCCTGTTGGTAGGAGGATGGTGGGAAAAGTCCTTCTACAGGGGTGACATGACACCTTTTACTTCTGGTCATGTGTCCATCTTGCCCCGAGCGTGTTACCTCCAGAGGCCTGGCTAATGGGGGTCAGGGGTGCGTGGCTAATGGGGCATCACCAAAAATTATACATATCTGCTGGCCCCGGAGGAGGAGTGCGTCAGCTGCCTGAGTTACAGGAGGTGTGAGTTTACTGGAGGGTTTTCCTGTGCCATGGGAGGGGGTGTGTGTGCGGTTTTTGTGCTGTGTGGCTTTTTTTTTTTTGCTCAACCACAATTGCTGTGGGGCCCCATTGAAATTGTTCGAATTGGGTCCCGCACTTCGTAAAGCCGGCCCTGAGAATCGTAGTGTAGACATATCCTTAGTACCCCATGCAGGCAGAGGCAGAATCAAGAGTGCGTTAGTGGGGTTGACTTCTGGCATGGCCTAGGGGATAGGGTGTTTGCCTAAGCAGGGTAGTATGGCTGGTTCAAGTCCAGCTAACCCAGGCAAGACATGGGATAAAGAGTGTGCTGAAGGTGAGATGGTGGGGCAGGTTCCTGCATAGCTTAGGGCATTTGTCAGGGGGAGGTGTGTTCAAGTCCTGCTCACCCAGACAGAGGAGGGATAAAGGATGCCCTGAAGGTGGGACAGGTCCCAGTGTGGCCCATGGGACAGGGTGCACAACCAGGAGAGAGCAGGGTGGTGTGTTCAAGTCCACCTGCCCACCCTGGCAGCAGAGAGATAGCCAATACACAGGCTGACCTGCCAGAAGGTGGGATAAAGGGCACACTCATGGTGAGGTGGGTTCTATCCAAACTCTTCTAAGTTGAATAAAACAACTTCTTGAGTTTTAAATAAAATAGCATTCACTGTGTAAATGTCATTTAAATCAAAACAAGCTTTTTCCCAACTCTACAGTTTCTTCAGCCCCATGGGGGGGATTCAACAGTTTATTTCCCCAGACTCAGGTCTGGTTTCATCAAACCTCTTTCCTTTTAAAGCTTCTGAACTTCCCTGTATTAGCTGCAACTTTGCAAGCATCCCAGTAACAGAAAAAAGTGTTGATCAAGGGCAGAGAAAAGGTCCTCACAAAATAGCCTGTATCATATCTAATGAAGTATTTTAGGGTCTCTCTACAAGGGTACACTCAAGAAAATTAATCCAAATTAAATAAAAGTGTGAATTTAAAGTCAATTAGTTAAATTCATATGGCCAGTCCATTCAGGATTAAAGTGGCCTTAAATCAGTTTAGTTTATTTAATCAATTGCAACTGGATTAAGGCCAGTTTAATTCTAAATGAGAATGATGATTGGTGATGAGTATAAGAATCAGATGGTTGTACCAGATACATTGAAAAAGGAGGTTCTGAGGTTATGTCAATTTAAAAACTGCTGTACATTTTGGGGCTGGGAGAGCTCTTGTGCAGCACTGTCTTCTGGAGGCACCAGTAGGACATCTTGCTGTTGATGAGCATGGGTCTTTGCTAAAGACAGGAGCCAACATTGACTCTGTAGCCACTGAACTTTTAAAAGCCGCATACAGATTTATGGCTAGGAATGAATACTCATATGAACCCTCTAGAGTTAGAGTGAAATGCAAAGATCTTAGTTCTCCTAACTATAGAAACAGCTGCAAAATCCCAGAACTATCAAATATACAGTTGAAATTAAGTTGCACTCAAGTGTGAAGAGTTAACTTCTGTAGCAAAGAAACTGCTTCAGTACTACAAACCTAATCTACTACAACCTACAAACCTAATCTACTACAGAAACCCCTACAAACCTAATCTACTACAGAAACCCTCATTTGAAACCAGAGAGAAATAAGACAAGCACCAGGAATAAAAGGAGTTTCCACATGCTTAAAAATGTTGCAAAGTGTCAAAACCTGCTAATTACAAAAGGAAGCATGCTATGCTTAAGAATCAACAACAATAACTTTATTATAAGTAGTTGGACCCACCAAAGCCAGTTATTTACTGACAATATATAAAAGTAAAGTAATTATTGCTGCCTATGTATAAGAAAAGATGTTGAGTAAATTCAGGCTATGGTTTTGTGCCCCGAATTAAGTTAAGGATATAGACTTGAACTGTGACATTATGTGATATACATGTACACAGTATAATTTCATAAAAATCTATTCACATGAAAAGAACTGTCCTTGGGTTCCTTACTTTTAAAGCAATGGAAAAACATCTACTGTGTATTGATAAACTGTCATCTGTTACCTGGTAAAATTGTAGGTATTCTTCCCCTAACCAATCAGATTTACCAATGTACCTAGACATTCTGTGCACAAATTACAATGTTGCATAATATCAGACTGAATCTAGGTTCAGATTTAATAAAACACATATTTAAGCTCATTTGCCAGGTTGAAAAATTATGTTAACATTTTTTCATAGCCACGAGGAAGCTAGGTTTCTCCTTTAAGGCACAAGGGCTTGTTTAACACTTTCAGGAACACGACTGGCATAGTAGTCAAAATTTCTCAACGTGGCAAGGACCCCTGCTGAATTCATGTGTTTCACCTCCTTGTTATAATTCAAAGGATTTCCATGGATATCAGACAACTTGCCTGCAAGAAATATACGAATGTGTTACTCATCCCAGTTCATTTAAGCCAGTGGTCCCCAACCTTTTGAGGTTGTCAGGTGCCAGGGGGCGTGGCCGTTCGCCCGCCGGGCGCCCGGGCCCCCCCATAGCCGCATACCAGGGCCCCCTCCCATAGCGCCCGGGGCCAGCTCCAGCACCGCGCATGCGCCAGGTGCCTGGGGCCAAGCCAGCTCGGGCCTGGCACCGAGAAATGCGCCCGCGGGCACCATGTTGGGGACCACGGATTTAGACAAACACTGCACTGAAT